CCCACCCTCTCACACACACTGTACCCCATCCAACTCCCCACCCTCTCACACACACTGTAACCCATCCAACTCCCCAACCTCACACACACTCTATCCCATCCAACTCCCTACCCTCTCACTGTAGCCCTTCCAATTGCCCACCCTGTCCTATGAAGTTTGTCTGTTCATTTGGTGGTTTTGTATGTTGAGTGCAAGCCAGGTGTTTGATATTCTTCGAGAGTAGTCTGTTAAGTGCTGGGAAGTGGAAAGCAGGAAAACGGGAATGGGTGTTGTTTTGAATTCTCTATTTTACCTTTCTGACTCTCAATTTTTTGGCTCCAGGTGCTGGAATCTACCCGAGTGACTCGACGCCAGAGTGCATTGGCACAGCGCTGGGAGGCTGGGATATTCCACAACCATCTGGAAGAATGAAGCTGGTCTTCTGATCTGAAGTGATATAATTGTAGATTAAGTAATATTTTAAAAAGCACTGCCTGCTGAATAGAAATGAAGTTCTGTCTTACACTCTGGAGTGATTTAACTCCAGTAACTGTATATAAACCTGTATAGATGACTTGGCTCTGACCTTCAAGTTCCAAGCTTGGGCTTGTTGTCTCCGTCTTCCTTTGTACATGGTAATATTAGGGAGAACTCTTGTAGCCATGAGTGAAACGATAGGTTCGATGGTAACCAACTTTCCTCAGCAGATCCTCTTCCACCCTGGGAATTGTCAGCTTTCTTTCTTTTGGAATGAACATATTGGTAAATGTACTTGAAATGGAAGCCCTCCTGGATTCTAAGAACTGAATTACAAATGAAATCTTTGCTGATTGTTCTCAATAATATCAGTTAACTTTTTGCAGAGAAGCAGAATCCTACTTGTGTGCATTTATTTAAAAAAATCTCATCAATAAATCAGCCTCAGTAACAAAGGTGCTTTCACTGGACAGATCCACATTGTGTCTGTGTCTGTTTGTTTTAGAGAAGGATAGAATGGGTAAGAAAAGGATGTAGCAAAATATCCATTATGTCCATTGATTCACTCTTATCCACCCAACTAGAAAGTTACACCTTAATTCCTCACAGATTTGTCACACACAATTTTCTTTTTGTCTTTCCTTGTTGTCTCTGCTTAATTATCTTATGATTTTGTACACGTGCTGTTACCACATCTCTAATAGTGAACTTTAGCATTTGCCAATGACCACATTAGTCTAACTGGCCTCTAGTTGCCCCTTTTATTTGCTGGTCTAACTAGAACAGTGTCATGCAGTTTAAAAAAAAAGTTTAATGCAAATTATCAACTAGTTACAGCTTACATTATTATGACAGACATAATTTGTAGACTTTGAGGAGGATCAGATGTTGAGTCTTATGGCCTTAGAGATTCTAAGCTGTTCTACCCACAAGTCCATACGGTATTAACACAGTGGGTGGTGCTAATGACCCTCCTCAGTATTATCCCTTTCAGACTCCCATTCAATAGCCACCTGTGTTAAACTGGTGCTCAGATGTGTATCCACGCTGCATATTTCCCAAGTGGTTCTAAATTAAACGTGTGTCATTTTAATATTTTCTATCTCAGGCCCATTTGGTCTGACTGTAGGGACCACTAATTCTTGCATATAAACATGGAACAGAAATATATAAAGTGATTGGCTAGTTTACACAGCTGAAATCGTAGAGTTTCACAGAACGCGTGATGGATGGAAGGGGTATACACAAACCGGCAAAATTCAAATAGAATCGCAAATCTGTGATTGAATTCATGAAATAATCTCTATACTTGTCTTTTTGATGAAACTCACCAATAAAACATTAATATATTAGTAAAACATTAATGTATCATTATAAATACCAGGTTTGCATATAAATATACAAGTATGGATAGGGTATTAATGTACAGAAATAAATCCAAGATGCAGCGGAGTAGGACGGTTCAGCTGGAGCTCCTCTGCTCAGTCCGTTCCTTTTCTTCTATTTCTCTCTCGTGTTTTTTCTCTTCTTTTCTAGATTTAGCTCCATGAATTGTTCTAATCATATTTCATTAATTATCCTGATTTCTTTATATTTCTCATGTTCCCCTTAATTCCAGAATCTTTTGTTTCTGACCACAATAACTTGGCCTTGTCTTTGTCCCATATTTATTTTCATTAATATTTTCCTAAAGCCAACACAAACTCCCCCTACCGCATCCCAAAACCAGCCCAGCTCGTGCCCGCCTCCCTAATCTGTTCTTCCTCCCACCTAAAGCCGCACCCCCATATCCTACCTACTAACCTCATCCCGCCCCCTTGACCTGTCCGTCCTCCCTACCTCCCCACCTACACTCACCTTTACTGGCTCCATCCCCGCCTCTTTGACTGGTCTGTTTCCTCTCCACCTATCTTCTCCTCTATCCACCTCCCCCTCTCTCCCTATTTATTTCAGAACCCCCTTCCCCTTCCCCTTCCCCTGCCCCATTTCTGAAGAAGGGTCTAGGCCCGAAACGTCAGCCTTCCTGCTCCTCTGATGCTGCTTGGCCTGCTGTGTTCATCCAGCTCTACACCTTGTTATCAAAGATTTTCCAGCATCTGCAGTTCCTACTATCTCTGATACAAACTCTCCACATTCTACTCCCAGTGGAGAACGCTTCCGCTGAACGCATACGCGGTGGTCAGTGACGTCACACCGCGACGATGGTATTTCGGTGGGCGGAGCCAGCGGCTGCAGGCAGAGGGCTGTGTGGGGGCAGGACCATGGAGGTGGGGGGCCGTCGGCAGGTGTGGCGGGGACAGGGGCTGCAGGGACTGCGAGGGCGGGGCCAAAGGCTGCAGAGACTGTGGGGGCGGTGACTGCAGGCGGCCGGCTGTAGGGGCGGGGCCAGTGCACTTTTCGGGGCGGGGACAAGAACAGCACGCAGAGGGCTGTGGGAGCGGGGATGCGGTCTCGAGGACGGAGACATGGTCCGTTGAGGTGGGGGCGGGAATGCTGTCCCAGGGGCGGAGCAGAGGGCTGTGGGGGCGGGTTCGCGGCGTCGGGGGGCGGGGCCGTGGCCTGTGGGGCGGAGCTGAGGTTCAGGGCCTGGGAATTCCAGGCTGCCAGCTGGATTCAATAGTGTTTCGCGAACAAAAACGGAAATTATTTTCATCTGCCTTTCCTGTGCAGCGGGAGTCATATTTATACAGGTTCTGTACATTAGTAGGGAAACAGCTGTTTATAATCCTTCCTCTCATCCCCAGAGTTCCTCCCCCCTTCACTACAGGGTTGTTAACTCACACCCATTTCACTGTTAGATCCAGAAATAGTCTGTTTTCTGGAATAGCAGGAATCTGAAATCTGATTTCTGAAGAAGGGTATAGGCCCGAAACGTCAGCCTTCCTGCTCCTCTAATGTTGCTTGGCCTGCTGTGTTCATCCAGCTCTATACCTTATTATCTCATAGTCTGTGACCTACTTGGTTCCTTGGCAGATTGATCGAGAAAGCTGTTGTGGATGTATCTCAAATATTTTCTCTACACTTTTACTGCAAGTGTGACTTGCCCGGCCTCTATGAAGATTGAAGTCTTCCATGATTACTGTTTTACCCCTTTTTACAAGTCCCTCTAATTTCCGGAGTTATACCCTGCCCTACACAACTACTGTCTGAGCGTTGTTCATAGCCTATCTGAGCTATTTTCTGGCTGCTGTCCTTATTCAATCCTTTGACGTTGAGAGCAGACATTCTCGCTTTCACTGATCACTTCGCAAACTCAAGTATTTTGTTTCTCTTGCTGTGTAATCACTGTTAGCAGATCAAACTCTAACTCTGTTTGTTTCTCCCCCTCGTCCGCCTCTCTTCTCCCTGTCCCTGTCCCTATCCCTCTTCCCCCTCCCCCTGTTTTATCCAGTCTGAAAGTAAACTCTGGTCTGGCCGTTAATGCTACTGTATTTGGATCTATCCAACGAGAGTCGTACAGCACAAACAGACCCTTAGGTTCGAATCAGAGATAGTAGGAACTGCAGATGCTGGAGAATCCGAGACAACAAGGTGCAGGGCTGGATGAACACAGCAGGCCAAGCAGCATCATAGGAGCA